AATTTCATTTAGAAGAGAAAGCAATAACACAGTATTTATTAAGAGCTACAAAGGACAGGAAAATGTGGAGGGCCATGTTCGCCAACATTCTGAAGAGACACAGGACATAGAACAAGAAATCTACTGAAGATTCATTTAGCAAAGAAAGCAATAACACAGTATTTATCAAGAGCTACAAAGGACAGGAAAATGTGGAGAGCCATGTTCGCCAACATTCTGAAGGGACACAGGAAATAGAACAAGAAATCTACTGAAGTTTCATTTAGAAGAGAAAGCAATAACACAGTATTTATTAAGAGCTACAAAGGACAGGAAAATGTGGAGAGCCATGTTCAAACATTCTGAAGGGACACAGGAAATAGAACAAAAGAAATCTACTGAAATTTCATTTAGAAGAGAAAGCAATAACAGTATTTATTAAGAGCTACAAAGGACAGGAAAATGTGGAGAGCCATGTTCGCCAACATTCTGAAGGGACACAGGAAATAGAACAAGAAATCTACTGAAGTTTCATTTAGAAGAGAAAGCAATAACACAGTATTTATTAAGAGCTACAAAGGACAGGAAAATGTGGAGAGCCATGATCGCCAACATTCTGAAGGGACACAGGAAATAGAACAAGAAATCTACTGAAATTTCATTTAGAAGAGAAAGCAATAACACAGTATTTATTAAGAGCTACAAAGGACAGGAAAAATGTGGAGGCCATGTTCAATTCTGAAGAGACACAGGACATAGAACAAGAAATCTACTGAAATTTCATTTAGAAGAGAAAGCAATAACACAGTATTTATTAAGAGCTACAAAGGACAGGAAAATGTGGAGAGCCATGATCGCCAACATTCTGAAAGGACACAGGAAATAGAACAAGAAATCTACTGAAGTTTCATTTAGAAGAGAAAGCAATAACACAGTATTTATTAAGAGCTACAAAGGACAGGAAAATGTGGAGGGCCATGTTCGCCAACATTCTGAAGGGACACAGGAAATAGAACAAGAAATCTACTGAAATTTCATTTAGAAGAGAAAGCAATAACACAGTATTTATTAAGAGCTACAAAGGACAGGAAAATGTGGAGGGCCATGTTCGCCAACATTCTGAAGAGACACAGGACATAGAACAAGAAATCTACTGAAGATTCATTTAGAAGAGAAAGCAATAACACAGTATTTATTAAGAACTACGAAAGACAGGAAAATGTGGAGAGCCATGTTCGCCAACATTCTGAAGAGACACAGGACATAGAACAAGAAATCTACTGAAGTTTCATTTAGAAGAGAAATCAATAACACAGTATTTATTAAGAGCTACAAAGGACAGGAAAATGTGGAGAGCCATGATCGCCAACATTCTGACGGGACACAGGACATAGAACAAGAAATCTACTGAAGTTTCATTTAGAAGAGAAATCAATAACACAGTATTTATTAAGAGCTACAAAGGACAGGAAAATGTGGAGAGCCATGATCGCCAACATTCTGAAGAGACACAGGACATAGAACAAGAAATCTACTGAAGTTTCATTTAGAAGAGAAAGCAATAACACACTATTTATTAAGAGCTACAAAGGACAGGAAAATGTGGAGAGCCATGATCGCCAACATTCTGAAGAGACACAGGACATAGAACAAGAAATCTACTGAAGTTTCATTTAGATGAGAAAGCAATAACACAGTATTTATTAAGAGCTACAAAGGACAGGAAAATGTGGAGAGCCATGATCGCCAACATTCTGAAGAGACACAGGACATAGAACAAGAAATCTACTGAAGTTTCATTTAGAAGAGAAAGCAATAACACACTATTTATTAAGAGCTACAAAGGACAGGAAAATGTGGAGAGCCATGATCGCCAACATTCTGAAGAGACACAGGACATAGAACAAGAAATCTACTGAAGTTTCATTTAGAAGAGAAAGCAATAACACAGTATTTATTAAGAGCTACAAAGGACAGGAAAATGTGGAGAGCCATGATCGACAACATTCTGAAGAGACACAGGACATAGAACAAGAAATCTACTGAAGTTTCATTTAGAAGAGAAAGCAATAACACAGTATTTATTAAGAGCTACAAAGGACAGGAAAATGTGGAGAGCCATGATCGACAACATTCTGAAGAGACACAGGACATAGAACAAGAAATCTACTGAAGTTTCATTTAGAAGAGAAAGCAATAACACAGTATTTATTAAGAGCTACAAAGGACAGGAAAATGTGGAGAGCCATGTTCGCCAATATTCTGAAGGGACACAGGACATAGAAGAAGAAATCTACTGAAGATTCATTTAGGAGAGATAACAAAAAACCAAATATTATTTTTAATATATTAATATATTATTATATATTACTTGTGCATTTTTAATATTACTTATATATTTTAATATTACTTGTGTAAATAAAGTAAGAGAATTAAAAGAAGTACTAAAAAAAAAAAAACAAAAAAAAACTGACCATGCTTCATGTAATGGTAATGGTAATATAGCCGTTTCCCTACAAGGAAATATTTGTCATTCATTGATCCATCAGCAAGTACTGCTCTCAGTTGATATCTATAAAATCTTTCTCTTAAAACAATTTTTTAGCAAAACAGGTTTCTCAAGTTCAGTTGTCTTTCCAGCATTGATCGGTGTTTCCTTCCCAACCTTTTATTTGAAGTAGTGTGGAAGATCAACATCTTATGCCATTACTTTCTCTTCGATTTACACTTGCTATCCATTGTAGTTGTTGCTGTTATTAGTAGTCCTCAACTGATGTGGTTTCCGTCCTTGGTGATTCTGTAGCGCCAGTCCACAATATTAAAAGAAGAATGGTCTTTGCCAAGATCCTCAGTCTTTCCTCGCTGAAAGTCATTTTTCACCATTGATCTTTGGGAGCAGTTGTCTACAGCTGATAGTTTAGATATTACTGAACGGGTTTGGCATCTTGCATGGCATCCATATTAAAATCTTGAATTGACGAGGCTATTTAAGAACATGACTCTAGTTTTCAGGTTGATATTGCGAATTCGTAGCAATTTACGATGTCGGGTAAAACTACCTTTGTCACAGCCTACCTATGTTCAAGGGCACCTCGGCATGGCGTAATGGTTAGCAAGCTTGTCTCGCTAGAATAATTAGGACTGAGTAGTGGGTTCAATCCTCACTAGGTGCCCCATACATTCGGCCTTCTGCCACACCTAAGCTACACTTAGAAAATCAATAGCGTACAAATTCCTCCTTGTAGGGATTTTAAACGCAGTTGCGTCTCTGTCCTTGGGCAGAGTGCTCTCAGGGGCTTCTCTGTCAAAGGACAGAGGGGCAACTGAGAAAAGTATACTGAAGAGGTGCCCAGCCCTGGGGAACAGCTGCCCGAGGCTGCGCCATCCCATTGCACCAGAGGGAGGGATCGGTGCTCGCACCGAGGCCAGCGCAACCGACGGTTACTGGGGCAGAGGGCAATTTTTGAATTTGTCCCGAGCGTACGCGCTCGGGTCCCCACCTAAAAATGACCTTGTGTCACATCTCATCCAAGTGGGGGGGGGGAATTAATACTGCCTATTCTATTTCTTTTGCCCCTGTAAGTAATTTGTTATTATTGATCCATACACCAAGTTTTCTGAAGTGTTTAGTATTTACCAATTCCACAGTCTGAGTTGTTATGAAGGATTCAGGGTAGGTCCAATCAGTGTTTTCATTGCAATTCCGGATCATAGTTTCTGTTTTGGAAAGGTTTACTTTGATTTACATTTCTTGGAACACTAATACATCGACTACAACTAATGTAAATAAAATAAGAGAACTTAAGATGAAAGGAATACTAATCAAAATTAATTTAAATCTACCAAAGCTTAAATTCGAACTCTGTTAGTCTAAACAGATTTTCGTTTGATACGCGTTACATCATCCGCGTATTTATCAGGCCATCTTGGAAATTAACGTTAAATATAAATATCATAGAGAAGGAGACTTTTATTTTGATTGAGCGGTTCGTTTTTTACGGCTTATCAACTCTTTGCAGGTTATTTACAGCCAGAAAATATGTTTAGATTCTAAGAATTTTTTGGAAAGATAATAATGATTAACTGATACAACTCTTACTAATTAACCCATAGCTAGGGGAAGAAGTGGATTCATACGTTTCTCAAGGGTATTTTCGCGTAATTCTTCCTGATTACACCCATTTTATTCAATGTGGCCCAGGTTTTAGATATGCAAATTTTCACATCCTTTTCAGTAGAATTTATTTCGCTATGTACGGGTAGATTTTATTGATTCACTTAAGACAGTCTGTATTGAGCCTTACTGATCGAATCTTATGAATTTAGTTTTAGAGGCATTAACATCTACATCATCTACCAGACAAACCTCAAACGGAGCTTATTTGGCGCCACTGTAGAATTGGTTTTAATTTATGGTGCCACTTCTTGGACATTAACGAAAACCCTTGAGTCTAAGCTTGATGGAACCAACACTCAGATACTGAGAGCTATACTTAACATTTCTGGAAGACAACATCCAACTCAATCACAGCTCTATGACCCATCCCTGGTGTTTCTACAGTCTTACGTGAACGCAGAATGGGCTTTACAGGAGACTGCTAGTGAGCAAAACAAGACTTTACGATTGATTTGGACATCTAGCCATGGTGCAAGACGGAGTTGGTCGCCACGCAACCACCTACATTGATCAACTAACGCCGTTCTAATGACCTTACGACCTTACGAAACCGTGATGGTTGTCCTGATAGACTCATAAAGGTCGAACTAGCTAAATTTATAAAAAAATCCTTTTGCACGTTATTTAAAGCCAGTAAATATTTTTAAATTGTATGAATATTTAATGGAAGAATTTAATAGTGCTAAATGTTTTACTAAACGAACAACAGGAAAACAGGTAGATTCACACCTTTTCCACGGGTAATTGGGCGTAAGTGAATATAACGAACCCAATGGGAATTGGAACTCGGCTCTCCGATTAACAATTCCGTTCCATTATTTATTACACCGACCGCACATCCTCGCTTACAACACCTGGTTTTCCTAAGCGGACACCCATTCAAGTAATGACCGGGCTCGATGCTGCTTTGACTTCCATGATCGTACGGGAACCGGTGTTTCGAAGCTATATGGCCGTAAGTCGAAGAAGACTTTGGGAAGTATTTTTTTTTTAATGCTATAGATTTTTGCAGCTGGAAAACTCATTACTACAAGATGGGCTTCTATCCCGATGCTTGGACTTTTTATTTTTTTTTTTGAGCTGTCTGGGGGGAAAAGGGCTGCCAAAAAAATATAATCTTGGTCTTTCGGTTTTTGAAAACTGATAATTATTACAAAATGATAGTTCTCGTTCGGTAGCCAGATACTCTTTTCTCACGAGACATCGTAAAAACAGATCCTTTTATCGTAATAGATATATTAATTTCAGACAATCTCAAAGATAATGTGTATTGCCGTTACTTGACGTCAGATGAAGCATATTTTCAGATCATAAATGATAAGCGCGTTAAAATAGCGACTTAGCTAGAAGTAATGAACTCGAAATTAAAGAATGCCATTCGAGAATCCCCCCCTCCACGCTCACACTCTATATTCATCTATTTTGAACGAACGCAATTGACACGTTTCTTCAATCCATCTCTATGTCCCAGGACCTCCATTAGTACTTCACTCTTCAAACTAATAATATTTCTAACCTGATCCATTTACACTATTTACATTATTCACTGTTCTCAACTTTGTTGTTATATTCATGACGTTTCGGTCGTTCTATGCTCGGGCCTTCTTCAGGTGATATACGTTGGAATTTTAAACCGAAATTGTCACTTCGTCCACCGGGCTAGATTGTTCTAGTTTCAGTTATCTCCCTTTAGTAACTCAACTCTCCAAATTCTTGTTCGCCTCTGCTGTGGCTAAGTATTGATCTCACAGATATTTGGGTCCAGTCAATGTATTAGTTCAACCAATTACTTCAATCCACTGGGAATGAAAGAAAAATAATTCTTTGTCCGGATCGTTGCCCAAGGAAAAAAAATGTGACAAAATTGTAGCATTTAAGTAATTCATTGAGACTGAAAGAAACCTCAACAGAATGCTGAAAGCACTGGACGGCCGTTTCGTCCTATATTTGGGACTCATCAGCAGCGTGAATCCACTACCAAGAATTGAAACCCTGACAGTTAGATTGTCAAGCAAATATCATACCAACTGTTCCACCGGGACTCGATAACAAAGAGATTGCAAATCAGACTCAATAGAGCGTCGCTCGCTCACATATTCCGTGGTGGAACTCTGACTGAGTTCTCTGTAACCATAGGATTGTGCCCCCTGAAGCCACGACTACTCTCACCAAGCCGCTCACTCTAGAGCATTAGAAGCTGGTTCAAGCAATGATGTACATGATAGAAATTATAACAGAATGCAGAAAGCATTGGACGGCCGATGATTCCCAAATATAGGACGAAACGGCCGTCCAGCGCTTTCTGCATTCTGTTGAGGTTTCTATCAGACTCAATGAATTACTTAAATATAATTATCAAATCCTCCTAATAATTTCTAAAATTGTAGCAGCCAAAAATTTTATTCCCATTCTATCTAGCGAGCGATGAAAAGGAGGCGAGATGACAGGGCGAACGGTCTAAACGGCGTGTGTCTTCCTTTTGCGTCGCGATAGGTCCTCACTTGTTTAGGCTGCTAGGGACAACTTTCTTGTAGAGAACCAGATTTCAATGTCCTGTGAACTTTCGTGTAAAAAAAGTGATTTTTCAAGAACCCAGGATGAGAACCTCTGATTAGCAAGCTTGTCCCGGTATATCAATTAGGACTGAACAATGAGTTCGATCCTCACTGAGTGCGCCATATTTCCGGCCTTGTGCCACATCTAAGTTAGGCTTACAAAAAATCCATCAAGTACCCAGGGTTCGTATTCCGATCCACTAAGCCAAATCGCTTTTTCACAGTCAGTTGATCTGGTCATTGTGAAGTTCGATCTACTCAGCTGACCTTTGCCATTGTCAAACGGAGTTTTCTAACATCCTGCAGATGTTTCCTTAACAAGATATCAACTGACATCCACATATACTTTAGTCGGTTTCCCATTCTTGCGTTTCTCTTGTTGACCCATGAGAGCATTTTTATCGTCCAAATGTGTCCAATTAATCGCAGACTTCTAATCCATAATGACTTCATCCCACTTTGCAGTTTTTTCGTACAGCTCTTCGTTTTGGGCCTTTCCCATGATGCACAACGTATATCCCTGAGTTATGATTAACAAGTTCGTCTGCTCGTAGTGAATTCAATTCTCTATGCTGTTTGGCATGTAACAAAGTCGGGTAAATATCTCTCTAATTCATCAGAAACCTGGACTTGGGGGACTTGTTAAATAGGGTCTTGCGAATTATCATATTATTAGAATTATTGTTATGTTAAAATTTTCTCAGAGTTAACTGTAGAAAAAAAAATATATAAAGGTAAAAGACAATAGAAAAAATGTATTATTAGCCGACACGTTTCGTCCAATGTAAACATTTTCAAGACAAAAACGAAATGAATTTATTGAAAACAAAGTATTAACAACAAACAAAATGTCCTTAGCAACTAGAAGAATTTAGAAAACGCTATTGAATTCATATTGTCAACTGAAAATTAAGTCAAGTACTTTCACGTATAGAAATATTATTTTTATTGTTGTGTTGACGGGTTCAACCATTTTCTTTTGATTTTTTGATATAGTTGTTTATTTTGGATTGGGACAGTAGTAATTCTCTTAAGAAAAGTCATATTGGGAAAAATACTGTTATATTGGTTTTGAATGTAATTAATTTTCTGAATTTCTTAAAGCTATGAATTCTAAGAGCCTTTCTGGTAAATATAAATAACTAAGCTTGCTATATGAATGTGTATTTGCTACAAGGTCATTATATAAATAATGATATATATATATATATATATATATATATATATATATATATATATATATATATATATGATAAAAAGAAAGAACAGTAAGATGTATAATACGGTGTTCTTATAGATATTTTTATTTTTACATAACCTTGCTCAATATAAATTTACTGAGCATAAATACTAGAAATTAACTGATTTAAAATATGGTGTCTTCGATACACAGGAATTACCATGTTTCAAAAACCGAAACTAAAAACCTCAAATTTAATTATATAATTAAATTAAAAGTGTTAGTTCTGTTTCATCTTCAAGCGAATTTTGGAATAACTATAAATATTTCAATAGGGCGTCTGATTCCTGGCACTTAAAATAAAACCAATAAAACGCATGCAGTAAAATGAAAATTAATAAGAAAAGCTAGAATATGTAGGCTTTAAATGACCCATGTCCTTTCTGCATACATGAGAAAGTATATATTACTAAGTTTATAAAAAGTAAAAATTTACTGAATCAAAGAAATGAAATAGCTATTCTTTGCCGACATTATCAAACATTTCCCTTAAATAATATTTAAAAATAAAATAAAATAATTACAAAAAAACAAAAATGGGAGCTGGTAATATATATACTTATATTTGATATGTAATAATAATTTTAAAATAATTCTATTACATTTACTTGTTTTAAAGAAAAATATAGTCTATTAGTAATTAAGAGTAAAAATAATATATTAAAATTGTAGTTCAATATAACTTATTCTAAACCAAACACCCTTTTTAGAAAGAATCTTTATGTATGCAAGTACGAATTTCACAGAAAAAATGCCGAAAACATTTTTCTTGTTGACAGACGACATGCGTTGAACGGATGTCAAAATTCGTTGAAAAATGCACACCTACTCTACCTAAACTTAACCTCTTTTTCGAACGTAACTCATAATTGATATAATGATAGTTAATATAAATGAACACGCTACCGCCCCTGTCTAAATGATTGGATTTCTCTGTATCCTTGGAAACAAAAAATTATGAATTGTATGTGCGTTTAAAATTCAGTAAATTTAAAAATAAGTTATTCCAAAATTCGCTTGAAGATGAAAGAGAACTAATGCTTTTAATTTAATTATATTATTAAATTTGAAGTTTCTAGCTTCTTTTTTGAAACATGGTAATTCCTGTGTAGCGAATAAACCATATTTTAAATCAGTTAATTCATAATATATATATATATATATATATATATATATATATATATATATAATTATTTATTTAAAAATAATTTAGGCTCTACTTTTGTATCGAGCACTGTTTTTTAAAAATAAAACAAAAATACTAAAGAACTTCGCATTGTTTACCTAACGAGTTATTTCCTATTTTCTATATATTTTCACACACACTCACACTCACACACACACATATATATAATATATTGATGTCATAATATATATATATATATATATATATATATTTTTATATAACCCACAAGTATAAAAATCATTAATCACGCTCATTGAAGCAGTGCAAACTTAATTTTTGACAACAAAATTTAATGATCATCAATTTCTGGCGCAAATATCACTATGTCTGATCATGTGATCAAAACTAACCAATCAGACTGCAGGTAGAATTTTGAGCAACTTTATTGCATAAAAAAGAAACAATTTTTGAAATCCAGGCATGCAAGATAAATCACGGCACAGCCACACATGGTAAAGCGGCTGTAAATAAATATTCTTAAAAACTCCAGTTTTCAAATTCTTGGGGGCGTTCAAAAGAAATAAGCGCCCATTTTGAGAAATCGGTAGCGTGAAACAGACCGTTAATGTGTAACTACCCCCGCAAATATTTTGCTATTCATATTAAATGCTCTTTAAAAGTGTTTAAAATTGACCATAATATACACATATGTATATATATATATATTACAATAAACGTGCAATCAATTTACAAATACATGAATTATTCACACAAAACTAATGCAAAGGTTAATGATTTTAAATGGCGAGACATCCATCTCGCAAACATGGATGTCTCGCCATTTAAAATCATTAACCTTGCATTAGTTTTGTGAATAATTCATGTAAATTGCACGTTTATTGTAATTTAAATATCTGATCCATGTGCGACTTTTGGTTAATAAGTGCGACATTACTGTAATTATTGAACAATATAGTTCATGCCACTTTGACAGTAAAATTTACCAGTAAAATAATTTGTTCATTACCATATTTGGTA